ATCCAAAGTCCTTGGCATTTCATCTCAGCCTGTTCATTTCCAGAGTCTTCTGTCTACATTTCCATGAATTCATATATTCTTATACTCCATTGTGCCAGCCAAAAGGCTTAAGGAGATTTCCATGTAGATCTCATAATAGATCATTTTTAGAAGTATGTGCTTCCTTTAATTTCAGGTAACTGTTTCCCTTAACTGATTTCAGGAAACTGTCTTCTTTAACTTGGGAATCAGGACACCATTGCTGTAGCATTTAGTAGCTAGGAGGTGGTAGGGACAATCTTGTGGCTTCCAACCAGTTGCAAGTTTCAATTTTAGGGGCAATCAAAAGGAAATAGAGTCAGGAGAGATACTAAGGAAGAGTTTTCTTAAATTTTCTTTCAAAGTGGCCTGAAGAAGGAGTCTCCATCCTGTTGGAATAAAGAAAATGATTTTCCCAGCCATATTTGAACAAATAAGTGACAAGCATAGTTTTCATATCTTGGTCAACTAAAGGCTGGAGAACATTAAAATCCATTCGATTTGGTTAACATTTCCTCCTGATATCACAGTACATATCTTTTGTGTCTTTCAGAAAGTAAAACCCTTATTTGTGCAGTCTAAAACAACCCTGACAGGTACAGCCTCTTCAAGTCATGGAATATCTTCAGTAAGTAGCCTATTTTTCTCTATTAAATATTTACTGAGTTGATATTATTTAACTTAAGTAATGGAATGTTTGGTTCACTTACAGATAGACAGTAAGCATTCAGATGTAGCCAGTGATCAGGCATTCCCTCAACTTTCACCAAAAGGTAAGAATCTTCATTGTTGGAAAAGAGGTTCACACCAGAATGGCTACTTAGTCTAGATTAATTTTGCTTTTCTTTTTTACCCTGAGGTATTTGGTATTCTGGGTGAATGCATGACTTTTTCAGCCAATTTATAAAATGATTGCACAGATAAACTGAATAAAAGAATACTAATATATACTTCTGACTACTGATCACTGCTAATTGAAAATCAATCTAGGCCAGGTACAATAGCTCATACCTATAATCTTAGCACTTGGGGAGGCTGAGGGAAGATCACTTGAAACCAGGAGTTTGAGATCAGCCTAGGCAACATAGAAGACTCTACCTCTCCAAAAACAAAATTAGCCAGGCATGGTGGCATGCAACTGTAGCCTCAGCTACTCAGGAGGCTGAGCCGATGAGGTCAAGGCTGCAATGAGCCAAGATCATGCTGCTGTACTCCATCCTGGGCGACAGAGTGAAACTGTGTTTAAATTAAAAAAAAAAAAAAATTAGTTATACTTCAAAACCAGAAACTGCCTTCATTAGAATCTCATTTCTTTTTTTTCTTTTTTTTTCAAGACAGAGTCTCCATCTGTCGCCAGGCACCAGGCTGGAGTGCAGTGGTGCGATCTCGGCTCACTACAGCCTCCGCCTCCTGGGTTCAAGCAATTCTCCTGCCTCAGCCTCCTGGGTAGCTGGGACTACAGGTGCACACCGTCATGTGTAGCTAACTTTTTTTGTATTTTTAGTAGAGATGGGGTTTCACCACGTTGGCCAGGATGGTCTCGATCTCTTGACCTCATGATCCACCTGCCTCAGCCTCCCAAAGTGCTGGGATTACAGGCTTGAGCCACTGCGCCTGGCCTCATTTCTTTTTTTAAATTAAACTTCCAACAAACCTGAAGCTCCTGTTAAAATCTTATTTTTTTCCAACTTAATAATTAAAAGAAAAGTAGGCTGGGCCTACTTACACCTCACACCTGCAGTCCCAGCGCTTGGGATACTTGAGTCCAGGAGCTCTAGGCCAGCCTGGGCAACCTGACTGTTTCAGCCTCCTGAGTAGCTGCGACCATAGGTGCCTACCACCATGCCCAGCTGATTTTCGTTTGGTTGGTTGATTGGTTGGTATTTTTTAAAGATGGAGTTTTGCCATGTTGCCCGGGCTGAAATTATTTCTAAAGCATCATAATATATTCACATTTTATTGTAAACATGTGGATTAATGAATTTAGTTGCCTTGAAATTTATTTTTTTAACTTTAGATTCCAGGGGTACATGTGCAGATTTACTGTGTAGCAATATCGCAGGAGGCTGAGGTTTGGGCTTTCAGGGAACTCATCACCAAATTAGTGAAAATAGTATGGCATAGGCGGTTTTTCAACCCTCGCCTTCCTCCCGCCCTCCTTTTCCAGACCTGGTGTCTGTTATTCCCATCTTTATGTCCCTGCGTACCCAATGTTTAGCTCTTATAAGTAAGAACACGCAATATTTGGTTTTCTGCTTCTGTATTCATTCACTTAAGGCCTGCAATTTTAATTAGGAAGTTTAATTAACCATAGAATTCTATTCCCTAAAAATTCAGTTGAGGATTTTTCATTGAAAATTGACTTTCCCTAGCCAAATAAACCACTTTGCAAAGGTCCATTTGAAGTAACACAAATGTTGATGGCCACATGACACATAAGGCAGCCCTGCTGAAGCAAACACTGTCGCTCCCTTTTCCAATTCCTGAAAATGCAAAATGTAGAGTTATTGCCACTCTGTCTACTGAAAATCCTCTTAAAATTTATTAGCTCTCTTTTTTGCCTTACTAATAAAATTGAATATAAATGTGCCTTATGATCCATAATTTTACGGTGTGCTGTAAGGCTCATCATTCTGAATATTAATCAGCCCTGCAGAGGAGGTGTAAGATAAAATGCTCACAGCAGATGCCTGTGGTCACACCCTGAAGTTTCCTCCTATTCAATCTCAGATACAGCTCTGACATGCAATGTTCTTCCCTCTCAAGATAGTGTTGGGAAATAATCCAGTTAACAAAAGTTTCTTATTAATTGGTTCAAGTTAATCCAAAATTTACTAGAAATAATTTTTTTATTTTTACTGAATAAAAAACAACTACATGAATGTTAGCAAGAAAGCTGAATTACTAATTTTTTAACTTGGGGAGTAAATGAACCTTCTCTTTAAAAAGCACGATTTTTAGTGAGAATGCCTTGCAGATGGCTTTCATGTTGGACATTTAAAGGGCCAAAATATCTTTGCACAGTGGCAGTATTGTAGCCAATAAGGTTTATCTGAGGTGCAATTATTGCTAATCAAAGGATCAAATTAGCCAAGATTATTGTTAATCTTCACTAAAAAAGATATTCCAAGCTCCCAAAGTACTTTACAAGGTTGAGTACCCTCTTCAGACCCCAGGAAAAAGTTTAATACATTATTAATGCTTTCAAGCACTAATTCACAAATACCTATTACAGAGGTATTACATATTGATATGATTTGGATTTATGTCCTCGCCCAAATCTCATGTTGAATTGGAGAAGGGGCCTGGTGGGAGGTGATTGGATTATGCGGGCTGTTTTTCCCCTTGCTGTTCTCATGATAGTGAGTGAGTTCTCACGAGACCTGATGGTTTAAAAGCGTGTGGCACTTTCCCTCTCTCTCTCTCTCTCTCTCCCCCTCTCTCCCTCCCTCCTGCTCCGCCACTGCCACCATAAGACATGTTTATTTCCCCTCCCGTCATGATTTTAAGTTTCCTGAAGCCTCCTAGCCATGCTTCCTGTTAGGTCTGTGAAACTGTGAGTCCGTTAAACCTCTTTTCTTCATAAATTAGCCAGTCTCAGGTAGTTCTTTATAGCAGTGTGAGAATGGACTAATACAGGTACATAAAACATAAGGGGTTACTATAACCTATTTGGTAAGAGATCCCAAGCCAAACTCTTTAAAGTTACTGTTGTAATACATTCCATTATTAAATACATAAATAGAATAATAACAGTAATATGTAAAATATCCTATGGAATAGTATCCTCTCTGTTACAGAATCCTCGGTGTTGGCATCAAAGATGGAGCGTCTTAGGCTGTACTTTCACACCACAAAATACTTTGCAAAATTATGTATAGCAAGCATTCAGTGGACATAGATAATATTCTAAATGCTTTTCACATTTTTACTTTAATGTTCCCAAAAACCCTTAGAGGTAGGTACTCTTGCTTTCCCCTGTTTTCGAGATAAGACCATGGAATACAGAGAGATTTGTAAACTGCTAGGTTTATATTGCAAATAAGTGGAAGAGCTGGATTCAAATCCAGTGTGGGCTAAGGGTTCGTGCTAATCCCCACTCAGTTATTTTCACCTGCCCCAAGAATCATGCATGACAACGTGGAAAATACCCTATTTTCAACAAAACACCGTGGGAAAATCCATGTTATAACAGAGAGTGCATGGGCTTTGAGGCTGACAGACTGCTCCCAAGCTCAAGTGACTAATTACTCACTGGTACCTTCATCTCAGTGCTCCCTGCTGTATAAAACAGACTTGGCAACCCCACCTCACAGGTTTGTTATGAGGATGAGGTGAGATCATATATGTGACATGCCTAGCTAATCCCTCTCTCTACCTGTCCTCCTCAGCTGTTCATAGTACAATCCCAAGCTAAAACCTTGCAAATCTACATTTTAATTCATCCGTGAGAACCATGATTCCCTAAACAGCAGGCTAATAAATTAAAACAGCTAATCTCTCCTTTACTGCTTTTTTTTTTTCTTGAGATGGGGTATTGCTCTGTCATCCAGGCTGGAGTGCAGTGGTCCAGTCATAGCTCACTGCAGTCTCAAACTCCTGGGCCCAAGTGATCCTCCTGCCTCAGCCTCCTGAGTAGCTGGAACTACAGGCACACACCACCGCATCAAGCTAATCGCTTTATTTTCTGTAAAGACAGGGTCTCACTATGTTGCGCAAGCTGATACCTTGAGCCCAGGAGTATCCATGAGGATACACAGAGGCATGAGCCACTGTGCCCAGCCTCCTTTGCTTCTTTAATAGATGATTTTCTACCAGGCATAAGTGAAAAAATAAAATCTAGCAATAATATCAAAACATACAGTATATATTTTAAAAGGGTGATGATACAAAATATAGTTTAAAACAATGTTATATAAGGTGATATGTCCTTCCTAGGCAGATTGAAAACAACTTTTTGTTACATTGCAAGTTCTAAAAATTCTAAACAGGACAAGAAAGTGGAATGGTGCATGCACCATAGAAAGGTTAAGAGACAAATAAATCCTTGTTTCTCTAAGGGGATAGAAAAATGAGGTACAATGCTATCTGCAACATTTCAAAGCAGTTTTTATGCAGTAGTAATTATCCAAAGAGAGCACAGGTAACATTATTAATTTGTTTGCTACTTACTTGTGATAAAATTTGGGATCTGAGCTGCCCATTGTGTACTGTGCACTGCCACAGATTTTATGTACTCAAGAAGACCTTTCTCACAGTCCAGTAATTAGGTGCTGTTGACATTGCAATCTTTGGAAATGTTCTTAATGAGCCCAAAAGACACGAATCTTATAGATAAAACCTCAAAGTAACAGTGACTCTTTAAGTGGCCTGTCAGGAAAGGAAAGCTCAAACATCAGTATCTGAACCACAGGAGAAACCCAAATTTAAACCCAGATTACATTGTGTTGTTAATTCTCTGAGGCTTCTAGGGAAGAAACATCCAGGGGGTGATTTGAAAGGGGTTTTAAAGAACAGAACAATCATAATATATTAGATATAATTTAAAATCTTTCTTTTTACCCTTTGAAGCTTTGGGCCCAAAAAGTATTTTTAATAAGTATATTTTGTACTGATTTATAGAAATAAATATTCCTTGACAGTGAAGTTCAGTTGCCCCTGTTGCTTTAAACACAAAAAGAAATTTTGAAATCACCTAAGAAATTGGAAGTTAGATAAGAGAGAAAATGAAGTTTCAGGCATAAGTGTTAGCATTGTTTTGTATATTGTTTCT